TTATTTTTAAAAAAAAATTATAAAATAAAAAATATATGCTTTTACCACATTAATTAAATTTTGAAATTTAACTTTCATTTTTTATTATATTAGTTCATATATAAATATTTTTCCTAGAGTTTAAATGTAGTTTTATATTTAATTTTACTAAATATTATTAAAATATATTAAAGTGTTAAGAAAATATATAGATAATTTTATCGTGAATATAACAAACAATACAATGGTTTTTGTACTAACACAAATATTTTATATTTATATTATTAATTTATCATTTTGGACCATATATGTACATTAAAATTTCTATAAAAATATTATCTTATCAATTTGTGTCATATTTTGAATATGTACAGTTTTAGAATGAGAAAATAAATTAATTTATCATTTTAATGATTTAATTATAAATTAAATTCACAAGCAGACTTCGTTAAAAAATTTGTTTCGCATAAATTTCTCTAGATATAACCCATGTTCAAGATTGCGTTAGGCTTGAGTTGGGTGGACGGTCTAAGCCTAGTGAGTTGTCAAATAATTGGAGAGTACTCAGGAAGTAGTTTTTGTATTTATTTAATTATATATATATATATATATATATATATATATATATATATATTTGTGTGTGTGTGTGCAAATTGAATGTTGAATCATCATAGTCCAGTGGTTTGTGATGCTTTTGATGCTGTAAAGGTTAAGGGTTCGAAACTTCTGCAGCGCATAACACATTTATCCCACATCTACAATCTAAGAGGAAGGGAGGTCTTGAAATCAGCTACTTTTAGGAAAATGACCAAGTATTATGGCCCAAACTTTTTCAATGAAGTAAAAAAAAATGGTTCAATCATTATTAATCAGAATTTAAAGCGATTAACCGGGTTTTTAATTGATTAAGCGATAATTCGATTAGTTACAGCGATTTGGTCAAAATCGCGGCGGTTTACTCCTGCAATACCTAATCGCTAGGCGTCTGCATTTGAAAACTTGAGATATAACTGTAAAACATATTTTCAAATTTTCATTAGTCATAAGTGAGTAGTTATTAATTTTACATCTGATTAAATATAAGATAAATTTTGCTTTTAAATGAAATTATTGATTAAGCTAATTTGCTCAAAATATAATAACAGAAAAAAGAGTCGTAAGTTATTAGTTATATATTATTATTTATTAGTTTATGAAAATAAAATCATTTACGTGCATAGCAATTTTTTTGAAAATGTATTAATTTTTTATCAAAGAAAATGTATTAATTTATCAAAATGTTTTTTTTTATAAATAGTTTTAATTTGGATTGAAGATAAATATTTTTTTATCATCAAACGAAATAGACTCATGAAGACTCTTCAAACCAAATCGCTAATTCTACATCCATGTGAATGACAAACTATAGTTCAAATTTCTTTCAAAATCTTGATGTCCTCCTATTAAATTATCAAGACTTTCTAAAGTATTATACCAACTTTGTCCCAAGAAAACTTTTCTTGTATTTCTGTGACCTATCCACCGTAAAACAATATCTGTATGGTATGATTGGTAAAAGCAACTGTAATGGGGAGTCTTTAAAGGAAATCTTTAATGAAAAAATAATTAAATAATCAACGGATCCTACAAAAAATTAAGGATTAATCCTTAAAAATCTCTAAAAAAGGACTGATCCTTGCACTATTTGCGAGTTCACACGACACGTGCCGGTCTGCGATTGGTTGGTATTTACTTTTAGTTTTTTTAATCTGAAAAATAATAATTAAAAAATCAAAATTTAAGGATTCTTTTAGGATAACACCATTGCGGATGCTCTAACGTAATTACATATTCATCTCTATATTTTGGAGAACCTTTGTGTCAATGAAACACATGTCTTAATTCATAATAGATATTCCATTTCTGCCAATTTGAAAGTGTCTGTAGATTCATCTAACTGCGAAGTAATAATTTATATAAATTATCAATCAATTAAGTAATAGTTTATAGATACTTTAGTTTATATGAAGTATATAATTTTATGATATTACTTTTTCCCTCTAATTAATTAAACTTTAGTTACAGCTTTAATTGATTGCGATACATATATATATGCGGCTCTAACAATGATTAAGGGTCAAAAATTTTGGATAGTATAGCTGTGTTTTGTAAAAGTTTTGGATACAACAACTGCTTTTCATCATCACCATGACTCATTTTCTTGTGTTTGTTATCGAATATAAGTATATAATTATAAATTTGTTTTGTTCTTTTTCCTTCAAATATAGTATTATGTAACGTAAAGGCAGATACCTTTCAAAAGAAGTATTCTATTACTATAAAGTGATAAACATATCATGCACGTCGACAAATCCATGGGCAGAAAGAAAAGACAAAAAATAACATTAAGAGATAAATTAACAAGCAACGAAAAAGAAAAAAATTATCGGGTGATTGTAGTCGAGTGATAAGGTAACGGTATCAGAATACTAACATATTTTAGTTTTGATTTATTTGTACGCGAAATCAAGTAACAATTATTTCTAGTCACCTAACACGAATATAGCCCATATTTTAGAATCCATTTGAATACTCGAAGAGAGAGTCTAACCGTGGACTGTATCTCTTTTTGAAATTAGTGTCGATCTCTCTGTAGATCTGGGATACTCTAAATTAAAAAAAAAAAATTGAATTAACAAGCTTTTAGTCCAAGAAAACAAAGAAATGAATTAAGAATCTTTTATTTTTGTCGACAATAAATGAATTAAGAATAAGTTACCCCATGGACAACAGAACAAACCCGTGAGTTGGCAAACTAAACAAGTGGTAAATATTAAATTGCTCTGGTGGTGGTGGCGAGTAGGGCTGAGCACAAGGTAGGTATTTATACTATTTTAGCATTATTTGATACTTGATTTATCTTATACGAGTAATAAAAATTTTGACTTGTACTTGATTTATCAAAAACGAGTACTTGTTATTGCGAGTATTTACTAAAAAATAAATTACTTGCAAGTTACTCATTATATTTTATTACTTGATATTTGTGAATATTTGCAAGTTATGTGTAAGTATTTATAAGTTACTTGTAAGTATTTGTGAATAATATAAATATAATTTTAAATATTTAAAAATTAATTTCTGAATAATGCTATACCAAAAAATGAAAATAGGAATTTATTTTTGTTGTTGTACAAGGAACAAACACGAGAATTAATATAAATAAAATATTTGTACATAATATAAATAATAAGAATGAAGAAAGATATAAAATATTTCTTATGAAATATTATTTACTTCACACAATAACAAAAATATATTTTCCAAGCAAGTAACGAGTAGTATCAAGTCGAGTAGTTTTTTTTCCTACATATTTGTTACTTGATTTGTACTTGCAAGTATTTCAATTCTACTACTTGATACTCGACTTGATGATGACAAGTACTTGAAAAAAATAAGACAAATACGGGGAAAATAACGAGTTCAAGGCGAATAACAGGTATTTATACCCAGCCATAATGGTGAGACCGGAAACTCAAATGTTAAAAAGAAAATAGAAAAACTAAACTCCAATGGTTTTTTTTTTCAAAACTCACGTGAAAGTAAGCTCGAATGTTTTAGGTAGTAGGAGTATTTGGCTATTCATAGTAAAACACTTTGGTATTTATATGCGAGTCTTATGCTGTATGTCTCAAAATATACATAATATTTAGTAAATCGAGTGATCATGAATTGGTTTACAAAAAAAATTGGCAGAAAAATTAACGTTCCATAACACCAACCCATGCTTGAATGTATCTACCTAAAGTTTTGCTGGCTTGGTTTGACATGATCCTTGATTCCTTGTTCCACAGAAATGTTATGTTTAGAGAAAGGGACGGCTAATATTAGTCAAGTAGTACTTAGTTATCTGCTTTGACCATTGTCTTAGGAGATGCATGAATCTAAGAATAAAGTAAAAAAAAAAGAATTGTATTCGATTTTGGACCCAAAAAAAAAACATTTTAAAATCCTTTTTATGCAAGAAGTTGAGCCACCCTTAGAGGTTGATTGCTAGAGCATTAGCATACACATTGTGCTTTATATTATTCAATCAATATTTGGCAAAAAAAACATTTAGAAAAATATTTACCAAATGCAAATGCTCTACAAATGCTTTTTACTTAATGCTTCAATATAAAGTTTTTAAGAGAGCATTTACAGATAGAAAATATAAAACTTAATAATAATTATATATAATTAATTTATTATTGCTTAATAATATAAAAATATTTTCTAATTAAATATAAATTTATAATTTAACGAATAAAATTATAATATTTTTTTTAAAGAACAATATTTCACATTTAAAATATAATATAATTTATATAATTATATATATCATTCATTATTTTTAATAACAACAATAACATAACATATATTTATATATTATCGATATAAACATATTATTTATACACTAATAAATAAATTATATATGAATTTTATGATAATTTTATTTATGAGTCATTTACTGCTCTACGAATAAATAAATAATAATAATTTATATATAGATTATAATTAATTTATATATAAATTATAATTAATTAATTAATTTATTTAATAATATCAAAATACGTTTATTATGCAAAATAATTTAATATTATTAAAATAAACTTCACAATTTTTAAATATAATTTATATAATGAATAAAATTTATTATTTTTGATAAAAATATATTATATATATATATATATATTTACAAAGAAATATATTATTTTACTAACTATTATGACAATATTAAAATTATATAATGTTAATGCTCTGCCAATCACTTTATTAAAAACTTTAAAAAAAACGTACAGTTTTTGCAGCATACTACTTTTACAGTATATTACTACTGCTTTATCATCTGATGTACCAATCGAGGCCTTAGAAACAAGAGATATACTTAATATAGAACGTGATTTAGTAGGTTTTATTGGATATACTATGTAGAGCATACTGATCATCAGAGATAAAATTAACCTCTCGCAGATTCAGTAACAAACCAAATATACCGGTGAGGAAAATCTTACAATCCAAGTTCAAAAAAAAAAAAAAAAAAAATCTTACAAGCTTTCTTAAGAGATCTAAACCCAAAAATTTCAATCTCGTGGGTTTTTTGGTTAGACGAGACAAAATGGACACATAAAAATACCCAAGAGAGCTTAAAAATACAACAAAAGAAACAGAGAAAATATAGGAATACATCGAATCATCAAACCGAAGAAAATAGAGAGGATGTTAAAAAAAAAAGAGAAGCTACAAAAAATAAAATAAAAAACTTCATCTTTAACCATCTCCATCTCTACCTCCTTCAGCTTACTTGTTCTTCGTCTTGTTGAAAGTAGATAGGTCTTATTGGATCATGGATGTCAGATCTTGAAAGAAGAGTTCATCACAAGGAATGGTGAGACCCATGTCGTGATCAAAACCAAACTCTTCCTCAGCTCTTCTAAGAAGACATTGGAAGTCAAGATTGGTCAAAAAAGAGATCGGAACTATGTATCTACTCCTATTTTTTCCTACATAGACGGGGAAGTGTCCCTTTGGTACATCAAGTGGGAGATCATTTTCTTCATATCCTTCTCCTCCATTCTTCTTTCCCAAGCTCGAACATCTCTTCCGAATATTCCTAAGCATTGTTGTTTGAGCAAGTTTTGTAGATTTCCTGAGGATGGCCATTTTCTTATGTTTTGGCTGATTTGACGAGGAAAGCTTTTCGTTGTGTTTGTAGAGAGAGAGGGAGTTGGTGGATAATTTTGAGGGGTGAGGTTAAAATATTTATAATGACGATGTGTATTTCTATATGTCTGAAAGAGATGTGAGAAATATGTGTAGAAGCCACGCACACAATGGCAATAAAAACAAGGGAAGTGAACTCATACAGTACTAATTATAAAATTTATTATGAAAACCATAAAGAATTTTTTATTACTATTTTTTTAATACTTAGCGTGTCGTTCTTTTTTACGTTGTGAGAAAAAACGTATTACAAGAATGCTAATATTTTTTAGTACCACGTAGGAAAAAAATCGGCTCCACGTAATAATGCGGCATGAAACTCAGTCGTAATACGATACGAACTTTGTTACGGCCGAGTTATAGTTACGTTGCGGCTGACTTAAATAACACAGCTGACTTATGAAATAACCTGAGTTATAAACATTACTAAGCCTTTCGTTATGACTGACTTAAATAAATCGGGCTGGTTTATGTGATAATGACTGAGTTACGGGCACATGTTACGACTGAATTATAGATCGGCGGGCTGATTTCTGGAAAATTCGGCTGAGTTCTAGTTACGATACGGCTGAGTTAACTATATCGGCTAGTTAAATGTTCGTCGACATGCTAAGTTATGAGAGGTTTTACGGCTGAGTTATAATTAATCAGCCGTAATAAAATGGAGTAACAGTAAACTCAGCTGAATTATGGCTTACTTATTAGCGAAAGATTAATTACTAGAATAACATTCATTTGCCGGCTGATTTACTAGATGATACGGCTGACTTTTGTGTTTCATCTTTGTTGTGGCTTATTTATTAACAAATGACTAATTACTAAAATAGTATTCACGTTTTGACTGACTTACGGTGTACTTGGTGGCTGACTTATTGTGCTGACTTAAGTGTTCGTTTGGTGGTTGAATTACCGATTTTCCATGTCAGCTTTTATTTGCCATGTCATTACTAACGTTGCAACAATGAAATTAGGGTTTATGTTACAGACGCTGCTCTTTGTTCTTCACCTTCTTCTCTTTCTTTAAAATCTTATGGATCCGATAATTATTGTTTCACGTAACTGGACTAAGAAAAACAGATATGTATTCATCCGATAGTAGAGAATGTATAGTTCTGCATGAAGATGAGAAAACAACACACAACGAATTCACAAAGTCAGTACTCGATGATTACAGATCGAATGAGTCGAGTCATCAGATTCAGTTAAGCTACCAGGAAAGCCTAAGAAAAATAGGATGAAATATGCTTTAGAGGTTGCACTTGAAAACAAACGTCCTAGAAAAGAACACACATGTTCTCGTTGTAGACAGAGTGGTTATAATGTGAAAACTTGTCAGCTTTAAAAGTGTCATATTGATTTCAATTATGTAGACTAGTGGTTGTATTACAGTTGAGTTATTGATTTTAATGTTTCTAATTATGGCTGAGTTATTGACATACTAGGGCTGAGTTATAGTTATACTACGGATGAGTTAATGATATACTGCAGCTGAGTTAAATGAATGGTTGAGTTAAATAAACATTACAGCTGAGTTAAACAAACGTTACGACTGAGTTTTTCCAAATAACATAAATACGAAACGAAAATGACTAATTACATTCTAAATAATGCGGCTGAGTTATTGAAATTCACGGGTGAGTTATTGAAATACACGGCTGAGTTATACAGAAACGATACTCTATTACGGCTGAGTTCATTACAATACTACATTAACGAATAGTAGAAAAATACGCCCACAAATAACACACAAACCACCACACTCCTTACACATCACACCTCTGATTCCGTCTTGATTCCTTCAAACTCTTTCTCCAACCGACCGAATTTGGCTCTGACATCCGTCAAGTGACTTGTTCATGTCATTCATTACTAACTTTATATCCTCAACCTCTTTTACCAAACACTTATCAGTCCATTTGAATAAATGTCTGCTTACACTAATATAATCAGATCTCAGTAGTACAAAATGAATATATGGCAACTAAGAAAAAAATTTAACCTTATTATATCCTCTTGCACAATAATAGTACAGTCTTCCTGGATTTGTAATTGATCCGGATGTACACATCTCTGAGGCTGCACGACACCAACACTGTTTTGGGGTTAATTTGGAAGTTAAATAGGAGCAAAACCTTAAGCAATTTACCTGATGAGATACTGTTAGATGAGAAAGACATTTTTATTTTAGAACCCTAATTCCAACTTTTTCTTCTGAAAAAATTACTTTATTACATCGTTATATAGAGTTGGGTTAGGTATAAGTTAAAATATTTTAAAGTTCCCGCATAAATATATTTTCAAATTCCCGCCCAAAAGTTGAATTATTGACATGTTACGACTGAGGTTAGAGTCATTTTATGGTTGCTCCTATTATGATACTATTGTCCCCCTCGATCTCCACCTAGCTAATTATAACAAGTTAACCCATAAATGCTATTATGTGGATTTAAATTTTAATATAACATGTACTAGGATAAGACTTGCGCTTTGCACATGATGAGTGTATGTAATTAAAATATAAAACTTTAGTATTGAGAAATTTAAAATTTTGCATATGATTGTTTTTATATGTATTTAGAATTTTGGAATTTTTATGTAATTATCTATATGTAGGATCAGAAACAATTGTAATTAGATATATAGATCAAAACTTATAATTTAATGGATTTGGTTCAAATATTTTGTCATTTTTCAGTGTTCGAGTGATGAAAAATAAATGGCGTATCACATGACTTAATTGGTAGAGCATTATCAAGTTCTCTAATGCTTTCTTAAGAAACATTTGGTAGAATATTTGTATTTAGAAAATTTAAAGTTTCAAAACTAATTTAATATAATTTATTTATTTGTCTAATAATATCAGAAAATTATATTTTAAAAATTATTTTTAAATAAAAAATAATTTTATAAAAAAAGTAAGTTAAATTTTAAATTATAATTATGTTTAAAATAAAATTATTTATTCATACTATATGAGATATATATATATATATCATCTATTAAAATAAAATTATTTATTCATATGATTTTATAATCATTGTAATTTATTATAGAAAAAAAATTAGACCTTGATCACAAAAGTTTATGTGAGATTTTTAACAATTTTAGTAATTTATGCTAGTTTTGAAAATTTCAAAATATAACATAAATAAAAAATTATAAATTTTTATTATATGATTAGTGTAGTTGTGTAATTTGTTTTAATAAGAATTTTTTTTTTTAAATGATATAAAGTATACATATTGTTAACAAATCTTTATTATTTAAAATTATTAATAGTCATATATATCTTAATTACATTAAGTAATTCCGTAGGTTTTATTTAAGAAAAGAATATATAAAAGATTTAATTTAATATATTATTTAGTTTGATATGTCTTATATGAGATTAACATATTTTGTTTTAAAACTCTGCTTTATATAAGATGTTCTAGAATCGTTTTAATCTAAAATAGAAAGCATAGAGAGATACCATGTAGGATATAGTTATTTTTTAATTAATACGAATTTCAAGTTATAACTTTTCAAATGTTTTTAAATTAATATATAAGGGATTAGAAAGTTTGAAACATACACACTAGGCTCTTGAAAATGGACTCCGAATGATTTCTAATTAGTACGGCGTGTTTTTTTACTACAGTAAATACAAGCTTATCTAAAACAATTATTTATTATTAAAATGTTGTTAATCACCATTTACCTCTATGTAACAATGAACAAAAAGCTGCTCACCAAAAAAAAAGAATGAACAAAAAGCTAAAACTCAAACAGATGTCTCCATAAAAGTAAAGTAACTTTTTTTTTTTTTGTCAATTTGGTCATTTTTGGACCTATATCCTCAAACGGAGGTAAGGAGGGGTCGAACCCCTAACGTCAGGGCCCGAAGGCAGAGCTCAGTTGCCACTTGGCTACGAACAACCCAACAAAAGTAAAGTAACTCTTTCATATTTTTTAACGGTGTAAATGGTTACTAATAACATTGTAACAATGCGATTCAACATTTGTTGTACACAGTTAAAAATATGAAAGAGTTTGGTGATGATTGTTTACACTAGCTTTTAGTTTTTAGTTTTTAGATTTTACTTTTTAGTTTATAATTTTTAGCTTTTTATTTTTGATTTTGGTTTTTAGATTTTGATTTTGGTTTTTGGTTTTGCTGTAGTTTTTAAGTTTTGCTAGAAATAATAAATACATTATTTAAAAATAGTACAACAAAAATAGAAATAAAACATTTAAAAGATACTACTCAAATTTTATTAAAATATAATGATCATTATTTAAAAATAGAAATATATTACCATGTTTTAGTTATTATATTTTTAAGACACTTATATTATACTAAATTATAAATAATAGAATAAATATAAATTATCTAATATTTAAAATATTAAATATGGAAATTATTAATAAAATTTCTTTTATATAATTTTAAACTATAAAAATTTAATGGAACTTTTTCTTTTTCAAATTATTATAATTTAAGTTATTATTTAATAAGTAAAATTATTATTAAAATTATTAGATAGTTTTATTTATACAAATGAATAAAGAATTACAATTAATTAATATTCTATTCAAGTATAGAAAATTATTTTTGACATGAAACATAAATAAACTATTACACATTATTGCTTAAATGGTATCTTTTGTACCAAAATTTGATTAGACTTTTATTTTTATAAAGTATTATTATTTAATTATTAACTAGTTAAAATGTACCACTTTCTAATAAACAAAATAAGAAAATTCGTTTAATTATGAAAAACTCACAAAATTAGGTTTTTGGTCTCTCTTCATAAAATGATTAAAATTTCGAAAAACCAGTTTCCTTAAAATTTAAGGAATCTATTCACTGAAAAACTTAATTAGCAAAAAATGGTTTTGTGCAATTCTCTCAAATAGAACTTTTTAAATTTTTTTATCAAAAAATAGACCTCAAAAACTAAAGCAACCAAAATAGCATTTTTTATTTTGAAAAATTTGAACTTTTTTATTTTCAAAAATTTGAAATCATATCC